GAGAGAGAGAGAGAGAGAGAGAGAGAGAGAGAGAGAGAGAGAGAGAGAGAGAGAGAGAGAGACAATCATTCTGTGGTTGGGCACTAAAGGGAATGGCACAGTAATTAGACAAGCACAACTGATTGCCTACGATTAGGTAATCTGTAATCTGAGCTAATAAATAATCTATATCACGCAACAATCCAATGAAGGGTTGGGCGCGCAATGGTTTACGTTGCAATTTATAGGATATGTAAGTATAGGACGGTGCTGCCATCTTTATTCGTATTCTTTGTGCGAGTCTTTACACCCGATTAAACTATGAACACGCGTAGGCCCTATCATATATAATATCATCATCATATAATATCAAGAGCGTATAATGACGTATTTGTCATTATACGCTCCTGATAATATGTAAATTAATAGTATATATTATTATTAGCTCTTAATATATACATATAGGTACTATAATGCTAAATAAATACGAAATCTATTTACTACCAAAGTGTTAATGTTTCTCTACTCTCTTTCACTTATTATTGCCGACAATTAATTTCCTGTAAATGCCGCAAATGCTCGTCTGCAACACACTGTCACACGCTGGCCGCCGCACGCGAGCTGCTGCACACTGACACATAAATATATTTTCCAGTCTATATATTTATGTGTCAGTGTGCAGCAGCTAGCGTGCGGTTTTATTGTGTGTTGCAGATGAGCATTTGACCGGCATTTACAGGTGATTATAGGCGAAATAGAGTAGAGAAACATGAAGACTTTGGTAGTAAATACATTTCGTGTTTATTTACCTTTATTTTATTTTATTGAGACGTTCCAAGTGCCTGTGACTCGTGTCCTTCACAGCTAGTGGCACACCACTGTAGCCAATATGCATGTTATACTATTAATTTTTCTTAATATCAGTTATCATGTTTGATGGTAATGATGATGATGGTGATGATTATTGGGTGATTGATGTGAAAATAGTATATCTCTCTGCAATCCTCCCTCTCAGCAAACTACGACGTTCTTAGGTCCAAGCGTTGTCGCCAAGCAACTGTGTAAAGTACCCGGATGATGTACACATCATGGAAGATTATGTACAGTGGTGAAACGAAATTCTAGCACTTATTTCTTTTATTATCGTTTTATGATCTGGAATATATAGTTTTGCTTTATGTAGTTTAGTCAACAACATGGATGTTGTTGAGTCGGATCTAAGTAGGAAGGTATGGATATTAGATTTAGGTTTTCCGGTGGTGGAACTGTCGTCGTTGAACTTGTCGACTGGTTTCCCGGAATTTGTTGGTTCGTGTTGACACTGTTCAGTCTGTTGTTTGGATTTGAGACCTCGTACTACAACTTGTAGTTGTATGTTACACAAGTTGTAATTACCTCCCAAAGTCCAAGGGACTGTAGCAAAGAAGGAGAGAACCAGGGTTTATTGTTGTTGTTCATATATTCATAGATCAACACTGTACTGTAGATTACATGAGAAAAGATTACATGAGGAAACCGGCCAGGCTCTCCGACTGTTACACGGCGGAGGAACGTAGTAACTCTCGTAGCGTAACCTCTCGCCAACGTAGTGTTAAGCGAGAAGTGAACTTGTGGCTAGGTTAAACACAGCACGTATATAACGGTACATGTAAAAAATCACGGTGTCAGTGTCAATATCCATGTACCATTGTACTATTGACGTATTGTATGGCTTCATCGTTTGATGGGGTTATAGGAATAGGTTAGGGTTATGATCACTGCTGTACAGCGAAATATATGGTTCTACTATCTAAATATGTATATTTATTTTATTCATATGCTCGTTTATTTCTTTCTATATAGATAATAGAGTTTAAAATTAAATAGCATTAATTATGATCATTAAAACACAAGCTAGCATGAGAAGATGTTTACAATGCGGTATTTGTTTAACCATCTGTGCATGCATGATGCAGGGCAAACCAGTGCAGTACCTAGGCTAAAGTGCATGTACTTGACACCACTGTGTACCCACATAGCCAATTGTAGACTATATACAGAACAAACTTTTTTTAATGAATACTGATATTGTCTAAAAGTATCATTCCCTTTTAACTCTTCAGTTAGATGTGAGTCAAAGCAATCCTGGGCTGACTGGTATTCCCGTCTTGCCCCCTCTACCGAAACCGAGCACCCACCACTATGAACCATCGTCGCTATACAAGGTATAATGTCGATGCTACTATATAGATCTGAGTTTATGCCCACAGCACTATCATTGTGAATTCATTGTGAATTAGCCATGTTACAGATTTATAACAAGAAGCTGAGAACATGAATGTGTAAATGCAGGGTTCTCCCTAGGTCTTTAACGTGTGTCGGGTCTGAAATGCCGTCAAAGCTGAATTTGTGACATCCCATAAATCCTCCAACGTGCCTCAATTGCCTAATAAATATGCTTAATAATCAGCATATCTAGCATCAGAGGATATAAGGCTCATGTAAGATCGTTTTATATATATATATTAGTGATGTCACGATCATCGATTATACTCGATCATCTGTTGAACAGTGGCTCGAACCAAGCGCTTGGTTATGAAAATCCATATTCGATTTAATCGGGAAAAAAATGTTTATTTTTTTTATTTTTTAAATTTGAACAAGAAAACTTGGAAAAGTGATGAGAATCAGTACATGTATTATACACACAGTAGTAAACAGTGCAAAACAAACAGTAAACAGGGCTAAACAAGCACATACATGCACACATGTACATGCACACGACATTACGCACGCGCA